AGTTTCCTGATAATTTATTCTAGTTCTTGTTTTTTCCTTTTAATTTTTCCATTTCACTCATCTTTTTCTCTGGAATTTATTTTCAGGTATTGCCTCTTATTCATCACTCCATTGTAGCTAATCAGTAATCAAGTACCATGTGACCACTGCTCAGAGGGACCTGAACAGGCAGGCAATGCTGGGGAATTAAAGGAATACAACCTTCCTAGGTAAGACCTCTCTCCCTCTCTTTCTCTAGGAATAGGACTCTGCCCTTTGTGGGTTCCTCACAGCCTGAATTGTATGGTGGTCCTGAGGTCAGAATACTCATCCATTAGCCTCAGGGATTTTGGTGTCAAGAGATCTGTGGGTCGCAGTTGGTCCCCATCCATGTGCTGGTTGTCTGAGATCGTGTTTTATGCTCAGTTGCCTGGATACCCTCAGTGGCCTGCTGTGCTTATGGCCTCCTCTGTCCCTCCTACTGCCTGGGAATTCTTCCAGAATTTCTGACCTACTGTATAGCACAGGGAACTATATTCAGTTTCTTGTAATGAGCTGTAATGGAAAAGAATCCAGAAAAAAATATATGTATCTGTAACAATCACTTTGCTGTACACCTGAAACTAACATTGTGAATTGACTACACTTCAACAGAAAAATAAGAATTGAAAAAAAAAATTCTGAGAGAATCTTCCATCCAGTCAGGCAGAGGGCAGATAGTTAGGTTTCCTTTTGATCAGACTTTCCTTAAACTTGCCCTCCCCGAACTCCTGACAACTCTTGCTTCCTCCTTGAATTTCCTTTGGTCATCGTCCGTATCCAGTCTGATATATGCATGTGCTTTCTTGGAAATGGCTGGACTCCATTGTTCTCTGTCTTGTCATTATCCTGGACTCGGGTCTTGTTATCTCATACATTTGTTGATTCATTTAGCAAACACTTATTTAGCACCTAGAAAGTAGTAAGGCCCATGCTGCATTGCTAAACTTGCCTCCTAACTCATTTCCCTTCTTCTGTTCTTTTTTTCAACTCTAATCTAGGCTCATCTTCCTAAAGCATTCTTCTCCTAATTTCACTTTTGGGTAGGGTGATACAAAACTTATTGTCCAAACTGGGATAGTTTTGTGAATTAAGGGGGGCAATATTAATAATGATGCTGGAGTAGCAGGTATAAACCAGGCTGTTCCAGGAAAACCAAGATATGTGATCACTCTGCTCCGAGGTGGCATCTCTTGGATACTTTCTTTTTATTTCCCTTAATTTATTTCTCATAATTTACTCCCCAGCTGCCTCTTCCCTCTGTTTTCCACTTCATGAAGCTGAAAGAAACATGAATGTGCTGTGGGTGAGGGAAGTCTGGGACTAGGGGAAATTAATGATACATCTTGAAAGACTATGTTCTTGATAAGTGAGAATGAGAAGGTAGTAACAAGAGAGGAGGCTAGCAAGGTAGAAAAAAGAATATAGAAAATAGAAAGGAAACTAAAGCTAAATATTGAGTAACAACTATAAAGGGAGTGTAACCTTTAAAAATTGTACACCTGTAAGCTATGTAATATTGTACATCAACTATACTTTAATTAAAAATAAATAATAAATTTAAAAAAAGAAAAAGAAATTAAGGCTAGATTTCACTCTTCTGTTTAGAACTTGTTTCCCACTGGCCATCAGATTACATCCATATTTTTTGCCCTGTAGTTTCAACATTCTGGCAGGTATCACTTCAGGCAACTTTATAGTTTCATTCCTTCATTTATTCATTCAACAACAACAAAATTTTTTTTGACTGCTTGTTATGTGCCTGGAACTGTGCTCAGTGGTAGGAATACGATGATGGACAAAAATCCCTGCCCTCAGGAAGGTAACCATTAGAGAAAACAGTTCAGCCAAAGTTCTGCATTTTTAAAGCACCTTTTGCCAAGCGTTCCAAGCCCCAGTACTCACTCCCTCTCCTAGCCCCCTTCATCTCCTGACTGGGTACTTGGTAAATCTGTAATTTACTCTCTTACTGTATTGCCATTACTCCATTGTAAGCTCCCTAAAGATAGATACAGTATTTCATTATGTTAGTCTCCTTGAGCTGCCTTAACAAAATACCAGAGACTGGGTGGCTTAATCAACATACATTTCTTTTCCCATAGTTCTGGAAGCTAGAAATCCATGGTCAAGGTGACCAGCTGATTCAGTTTCTGGTGGAGACTCTATTCCTGTCTTGTAGATGGCCACCTTCCTGCTGTGTCCTCACTTGGCTTTCCTTGGTTTGTGCATGTGGTGGGGATGGGGCAGGAGTGCAAGTCAAAGTGAGCTCTCTGGTATGTCTTGTAATAAGGACACACTAATCCTGTTGGATCAGGGCTCCACTCTTAAAACCTCGTTTAACCTTAATTACCTCCTTGAAAGTCATATCTCCAAATATAATCACATTAGGGGTTCAGGGTTCAACATACAAATTTTGGAGGGACACAGTCAGTGCATAAAGTGCTTTTTTTTTTTTTTTTTGCATTCAATAGTGGTATTTATCGCTTTGTGAGAGCCATGTAAATACATGGCTATTCATGTTTTTCCTGAACACTACTTTCTGGAAGGCTACTGATCTTTTCCGTAAGAGCCTTTAAGGATAAAATAGGCACTGCACTGGGGAGCTTTGGATCCGCTTTACCTGGAAATGAGACATCCAGAACTGGCTTCAAGGCACTGTCTCATTCTCAATCTCTAAAATACTTTGTTCTAGTACTTGTGGGAATCTGTTCCTCTAAAGTCATTTCCTAACTTTTCATATGTAATACTTAAAAAGAAGACAAATTGAACAGCAATACAAGTTAGCAGAAGACAACCTGCCAGCAAAATGGGAGGCCTTCATAACAGTAAATGTATAAACTTAGCCACCTATTCATCCATCCATTCAGAAATAGTTATTTTCTACTTTTTTGGAACTGTGCTTTTAGAAAATTTCCCTGTGTGAGACTTAGAACAGAGATATGTATACGATAGAGTACTCAGTACTTATTCATTTAAGAAATGTGTGAAGAAAAAAAGTTTCAGAGAAAATTAAAAACGGAAAAGAAGCTGAGAAAGAACCGTCCACCTTCTCAGAAGTCTGGGGGCAGCTTCGTTTGCTGTCTCACTCTGCTCTGCAGTCTCCTGGCCTCCCCTTGAGTCTCCTCCACCTGCCACCTCCCATTTGATTAGAGAGGCAGCAGCAGCTGGATGTAAGTGTGCCCAGGATCCTGCCAAGAGTCCCCCTTCCCTCGCCATTTTCTCTGCCTGCCCCTGGTGTCTTGGACGTGAGTCTGTGTGCATGTGCCTGTGTGTCACGTGAGTGGCACCCACGCTTCTGAGATGTGAACTCCAGCCTCCACAGTTCTCTTCTCTTCTTGTTGGCCTTGAGCACTCACCATTGATATGTCCCACCTTCCGAGAGGGTGACTCAGTTTATCCAAAAGCTATGAGATGATAGAAAACTGGTCAGACTTTTTCTGAAAAGCAGTAGGCAGTACTGCAAACAATTTCATTCTTTCTGACTCAGTAACTCATCTGTGGAACTCTTATCCCAGGAATTTATTTCAATAAGAAGAAAACTTTATATGTATAAAGTGATCATGATAGCATTATTGATAGTGGTTAAACCTCAGAGAGCAACAGAAATGTCTAACACTAGCAAAATTGTAGGTAAATTGTAATGAGTTTAATTGGTGGTGTATTATGTAATCAGAAAGTGATCCTATGAAGAGTTAATAGTATGGAAAAATATTTATAAAAATTAAATAGAAGAAGTAGGATGCAAAATGATATCTACTGTATATTTATAACTGTTTAACTATGAATATGGACAAGTCTGAAAAAGAACATAGTAAAAGGAAAATTAGTCATGTGTTAGTATCATGGAGTCATCTTTCGGTTTTCTTTTATGACCCCACCCCCTCTAGATTTGAGGTCTACTAGGGTTATCTCTATATCCAGAGTTTCACATCAAACCCTTTGGGAAATTCCTGCTCGTTCCTGACATTGGTTTCATGTATCAGACCCTCTTGGTTGTATTGTCCCCTGCTCTCACCTCTTGCCATCTTGGATACTTTACCACTGTGCCATGCAAGGTCCTGTCAGAATTTCCCCTGCTTTAACTAACCCTGTTTCCCAATTCAGCCTCTTGGCTTCACCCAGTAGACTCTGCTTGGTAAGAAGCAGACAGACTGAACTAGCACACATGGCTGGATCCAGCTACCGACCAGCCCCTACAGAGTAGGTACGATGTGACTAGACTCCAATTTTGGAAGAATTGTGTTACCCCTGTCACAACAGAGCTCAAGAACAGGTTTGTAGACAGGGGCCTAGAACTTAGACTAGAGCAAAAAATGAAATCTTAGTCATACCCTAAGACCAAATCCAAGTTACTATTCTGTAAAACAATTCTTAAGTACCTATTTTGTTCCAGCCACTATATCACTGGTCTGAGGGGAATAGGTCAGCAGGAACTAAATGCCAAACTGATCTGAATATGAGTCACTTAAGCTAGTGGACTAAGGATCTTTCAGTGCATTTTTTTCTGGGGACCAGGTTAAGAGTTAGTTGGCTCCAATTCTGGGAGTAGAGCATGAGGCAGGAAGAAACCAGGGTCAGTTTTGTATACTCATTGCTCATTCTGATGCTAAACCTATTGGGCTCCTATCAGCCCCGTGGCTTTCCTTAAGCCTTTACCTTGGCCTCTATGTCTAACCTCATTTTTCTCATCCGTTTGATCAGTTCCCCCTGCCTTTGAACACTTACTCTTCCATGTGAGACCCTGTGGTCTGCCACATCTTATTATCCTTGGGTATTTCTCCTTCCTCTAGTATAGAGACCAGGTGACATGTGCAATTTCTGTTTCTTCTGCCAGATGGTGAAACTGGGCCTGAGGAAGTATTGATTCTAAAGTATCATTCCTGAAAAATTACAATCTCATACTTTCAAGAGAACTCCACAGCAGTGTTGCCAAGGAAGTCAAGATTTAGAAAGCTCCTCTTAAGAGAAAGAGAAGGCTCAAGAGGACACTGGGATGCTCCAGGCAGGAGAAAATGAGGAGAAAGACGAGAAACTTCAAACATAAGACTGTAAAAGACGATAAAACACTCACAGGAGTGAGTGACCAAGAATCTGAAAAAGATGACCCTACGATAAATGAGAGAATTCGGGCCGAAAAGAGACAGTATGTATGTGCCGAGTGTGGGAAAGCCTTTAGTCAGAGCGCAAACCTCACGGTACACGAGCGAATCCACACTGGAGAGAAGCCCTATAAGTGTAAGGAATGTGGAAAAGCCTTCAGTCATAGCTCCAACTTGGTTGTTCATCGGAGAATCCACACTGGACTGAAGCCCTACACATGCAATGAATGCGGGAAATCTTTCAGCGGAAAGTCACACCTCATTCGGCACCAGGGAATCCACAGTGGGGAGAAGACTTACGAATGTAAAGAGTGTGGGAAAGCCTTTAGCCGGAGTTCCGGTCTTATTTCCCATCACAGAGTTCACACTGGCGAGAAGCCCTACACTTGTATCGAGTGTGGGAAAGCCTTTAGCCGTAGTTCAAACCTTACTCAACATCAGAGAATGCACAAAGGAAAAAAAGTTTACAAATGTAAGGAGTGTGGGAAGACATGTGTTTCTAATACAAAAATTATCGACCATCAGAGAATTCACACTGGGGAGAAGCCTTATGAATGTGATGAGTGTGGGAAAGCTTTCATCTTAAAGAAGACCCTTAATGAACACCAGCGACTTCATCGTAGAGAGAAACCTTACAAATGCAATGAGTGCGGGAAAGCTTTTACTTCTAATCGAAATCTGATTGATCATCAGAGAGTTCACACTGGAGAGAAACCCTATAAATGTAATGAATGTGGAAAAACCTTCAGGCAGACTTCTCAAGTTATTCTACATTTGAGAACCCACACTAAGGAGAAACCCTATAAATGTAGTGAGTGTGGGAAAGCCTATCGTTACAGCTCACAGCTCATTCAGCACCAGAGGAAACATAACGAGGAGAAAGAAGAGTCATGAATGACACATATTGTGGGAAGTGGGGCTAACTGCTACTTTCTGGAAAGCAGTTTTTCAGTATCATCAACCTTAATTCCCTAAGAATCTATACAGAGAAAGTAATCAGAAGCAGACAAAGATTAACAGAAGGGATATTCTTGCCAGTATCATACACAATGGGAGGAAGAAAGCTGGATTTTCAACAACAGTACAGGGTTTAGATGAATGATGGTCAATTCCTATGATGGTTTTGTACCCATTATAACCATTTTTAAAGAATATTTAATGCCATGGGGGAAATGATTTGGATAAAATGGAAGATAAATGAAAGAAGATAAGCAATGAAATATGATCCAAAATTTTTAAAAACATTTATGCAAAGGAAAAAAATGGGGATGAAATAATGCCAAAACCACAATGTCAACAGTGATTATCTCTAGATGATAGGATTACAGGTGATTTCTGTTTTCTTCTTTATACTTTTCTATACTTTTTAGATTTTCTACAGTGAGAATGTACTACTTTTTATATTCAGGAAAAAAGTAAGAGTATTTTTTAAATGCATCAAGTATGTGTACATCTTCACTCCGCAGTGTTACAAAAGGCACATAGAACATAGACTCTAAAGTCTTGGGATTGCGTCCTGCTACTGGCACTTAGTAGCAGTGGGACCATGAGCAAGTCACTTCCTTTTAGAGCCTGTTTCCTGTGTATTATTTCATAAATACCAGTAGTTGGTCTTCTGCAATTTTAAGTTAAATAGACTTTACAGTTGTCACCACAATGTATAAGCTACTTATTTAATCACTGTTAGGTTAGAAGAACATGGCAAAACTTTACTACATTCTCCTCTCGCACAGTTGTAGAAGAATCTGCAGATAATAGAGAACCACTTAGGCTCCATCTTTTCAGTATATGTCTACAGACCCGGTAAATGATGTCCCCTTATGAAACTGAAACAATTGCAGTTTCATAACCTTTAAAGAGATACAGTGAGCATCATCTAAAACTAGGGGAGGACTCTGCCTTCACACGTTATAGAGTTTAGTAACTGAAAGTGCAGACTTTGAGGTCAGGGATACATGTGTTCTAATCCCAGATCTGCTATGCACTAGCTTGCCAATTTTGGATAAGACCCTTAACTGTTCCGAGCCTCAGATTAATCTGTAAAAGGAGAATAACTGCCTACCTCACAGGGTGGTTGTGAGGATTAAATGAGGTAATGCATGTAAGTGTCTGACAAGCCTGGCACGTGGTAGATCATAATCATAGGACATTTGAGCAGTTTTTCTGAACGCCTAGTGAGACTGATTCGGGAGAAGTTTTACTGAAGGTAGCATTTAGGATATTTTCAAGTGTAACAAACACAATGACAGGAACAAGTAGCTTAAAACATTAAGAACACTGATTGTTGACTTAAGGGAAAGTCAAGAGCAAGCAGTTCCAAATTTGGTTTGGCAGCTCAACAATCCATCACACTTCCATCAACCTCCCTAATTTTCAGCATATTGGCTTTCATTTTTTGCAGCCTCGTGGCTGCAAGATGGTGGCCACAGCTGAAAGCTGTTTTCCTCACACAATTCCTTCAAAGTCAAGAAGTGAGGAAGGGAGCTGAGGCTTTCTCATCTGTTTCCTTTCTGCTTTTTTTCTGTGGGAGTGGGATTAGGTTTACTTACTTATGCACTTATTTTTGGAGGAGATACTGAGGATTGAACCCAGGGCCTCGTGCATGCTAGGCACATGCTCTACCACTTGAGCTGTACCCTCCTCCCTCTGGTTCCTTTCTGCTTTTATCACTGGAAAAACCCTTTTCCAGAAGAAGGGAGCGATGCTGAGCAGTCAGTACTGCAGGTGCCCCACTAGCCTCATCTGTCTTTCTTTATATCCCCTCTGAGAAGACCTTAAACCACTTTCAACCAATATTGTAAACTTTTAAGACAACTCAGAATCCATCTGGGAACCCTTAGAATCACCCCATTCTTAACTCAGCCACTCTTCTTTCTTTGTATACCGTGAATGCCTAAGCCTAATGCCATCTGTCTTACACACATAGTGATTTATTGTTTCAGGAATTATTAAAGATTTGGAATCCCATTCAATCCTGATAACATTGGTGCATCAGTGAGGTTAGGTGACTGGCTAGTGAGTGGTTGAAACCAGAATTTGAACTGAGATCTACAAGTCTGTGCTTTCTTTATTATGTATCAAAATGCCTCTGCCTACCATGATGGTTCTGTGTGAGTGGGAGACCAGTTGGGATTCTCCGGAGCAGCCACTTTTATGAAAGCTACATAATTATATATGGACAATTATTTGATCATGGTTTCATAAGGAAGATGCTGTCAGTCTTCTCTGAGTTGGATTTATAGCCTATCTCTGCACCTTGTAATTTAGTTTTAAGGATTATGTATTTCTTCCTTGCTGTTCCTAGAAAGAAGTGGAGGGTGTGAAGGGTATATTTGTATGAAACGGTTTGGTTTTGTCCTATTTTGATAAGATACTGGCTTACATACAATTTTGTGATATCATAGTCTTTTGCGTAGTTATTCAAAGCAAGCTTTGGAGGCTCTTTAACAGATTCGGTGTGTTTAGGGGGTAGGACTGTTGTATCATTGGTCACCCTTGGGTAGGCACTTCCCCACGAGTCTGGTAGGACACGAGGGTAGGGTAACCCACATGGGCCAGTGGCTGAACAGAACCACAGCAATAAGGGCGCTTCCATCATTTTCCCCTTGTCGTGTGTCCTTTTAAAATTCTACAGGGAGTTTGTAATTCATATTCATGCCTTTTGTCTTGCCAGTTAGCTTCACCTGTGTACCTGTGTGGAAACTCCCATGACTAATGTCTTCCGGCCCTGCCAAAACTGCTCTAAGAAAACAGGCAACTAGCTCCCTGTATGCCTGTCAAGGGTTATTTTTTGAGCATTTATTGTTGCTGAGCCGAGTTGTTGACGCTTGCTATATTGCTGAGCAGGCATTCTCTGACCAAAACATTCTCCCAGCACTGTGTCATAGAAATAGGCTTTCTTTTTCATCTTAAAAGACTTGGTGATCTTCAAGGGTAAATACCTTCTAGGAAGGATGTCAGAGATCTGAATACTGTCCCATTTCTTGCCCCAGGCAAGATGAGATAATGGACCCTGGAGGAGGCCCTCGCCGTCTTCTAGGTGTTACCTGTCTTGAACTGCAGGAGTAAATGTTGACAAGCGGTCTCTGCAGCCTTTCATAGAAATAGTCTGCAGCATACTCCGAGCTGACCCCCCACCTTCCTCCGGGAGTTTTTCAAGACTACCAGCTGTTTGCTTCAGTCAGAGTTTAGTTTTGCAGCTCTTAACCATCCTTTCAAGCCCTTTCAGATACACTCGGGAATGCAGGGTCTGTCTCTTTGAATGTGTTTTTTCCAACTTCCTGTCCTAATGGAAGCCTGATTGTGCTTCCTCTGCAATCCTTCAGTTGCTGGTTTTTCTCTCCCTCAACCCACTTACCTCTCTGTACTGCCATTTCTTCTCTATCCCACCCAAATCCCAGCTTTCTTGACATGTGCGTCACTAGATGACTGTGTTGCCCAGCCCTTTTCTTGTCACCTACTGACATCCTGTGCACTCAACTTTGATTCTCTTATATTTTTAGTACGCTGAATATTCCTGAGGAATGTGAAAAGGCAGTATTTTTTAGCCACAGGTATTCTGGTTATGTAGAGTTGCTTTTGTGTGGTCTAAAAATGTGTATGTCTCCTTTTGGTTGTGAGGAAAGTATGAAGTTGAAATCTTATGTAGCCCTGATTAAAAGGAAATATGAAGACAGAGAATCATGCACAGAGAGGAAAGTGTCTTCCTGGACTTAAGAGATATTTCTCATTGATGGTGTGTACTGTGTTAGGTCTTCCTAGGAACTGAGAATAAATATGAAACCAAAAAGAGCTTTAAATAGCTGAGTAATTCCAGTGACTACGAATCCCATGAGACTATATTTCATTTCAGTTCTGTATCCACAATGACAGGCTTGCTTTTTTAATTTTTTCCAGTCAATTTAAAAAAAAGTATGCTTATATTGTTAGATTATTTTTAGAAACTAGACTGTCTTTAGTCACTTCTGATGTTATAAAACTGGAGTCATAAAACTTTTTTGCAGGAAATAATTATAATTCCTCCAATAAATGTCTGTTATTTACTTGTTATAAATAGCACTGATTTTTTTCCCCCTTTGTTTCCTTCCTTTGCTCAGAATGGGAAGAAAATAGTTCAATTTGCTTTTCTTTAAGCAGCTGTTCTTGGGCTGAAGTGATTCTGGCTTGTTTCTGATTCTAACACAACATGAAACTTGCTATTGTCAGACTCGTAATAGAGTTGTCCCTAGGTAACTGCAGAGGATTGGTTCCAGGACCATACCAAAATCAAAGGATACTCAAGTCCCTTATATAAAATGGTGAAGTATTGCATATACTATGTACATCCTTCCATATACTTTAAATCATCTTTAGATTACTTACAACACCTAATACAATGTAAATGCTATGTGAATAGTTGTAAATACAAGGTAAGTGATATATAAATGGTTGCTGGTATGGCAAATTCAAGTTTTGCTTTTTGGAATTTTCTGGACTTTTTTTCTTTTTAATATTTTTAATCTGCAGTTGATTGAATAAGTGGACTGGAACCCGCAGGTACGGAGGGCCAGCTGTACGTAAACTAGAGTTGTAGCCCTTAGAATGCGTCCTTCTGTTATTTCCTTAGAGAACTTGTACAGCCAGGTATTGTCTCACCCCCTCTCTCTGGCCTCATCTGTGTTTCAACCCTATACTATCATGTAGTCATCATTTGCTTGTATAAAACCAGCCGTGTTCCCTGAAGTCCATTTCTGCTCCAGAAGGCAGTCCTCTACACTTATCATAATACAGTTAGGATGTAAATCAAGTTAGCTAACAAAATCTCATAAAATTTAAATTAAACACATTTCTAAATAATTCACGGTGGGGGAGGATATAGCTCAGTGGTGGGGTGCATGCTTAGCATGCACGAGGTCGTAGGTTCAGTCCCCAGTACCTCCATTAAATAAATAAATAAATAAATAAATAAATAAACCTAATTATCCCTCCCCCCCCCAAAAAAACCCAAAACAACAATAACAACAACAAAAACAAAAGTTTAAAAAATAATTCATGGGTTAAAGTGTCGGAGCCAGCCGACAACGAGCAGGTCCAGAAACCTGTGCTACAGGACTGAGAAAAGAAAGATGACACTAAAAGGTGGGGTTGAGAGGGTCGCACTCTAAGCCTGCAAGACGCAAGACCAAGAATGGACCACGAGTTTATTTTCAGCAGTTAATTTATACAATTTCAACCAGCTAGAGTGTGCATTCCTTCACGTAGGCAAAGGCATTGTCTTCTAAACTTAAGACCACCTGATAGCGTGTAGTAAAATCATTAACTTGTGTATTGTTCCCATAAACCGCCATAGGCTTAGATCAGTAACTTGTATGCTGATTGTATCTTCTTGCCCAAAGGCCATTAGTGTCTCATTAGCATAGGACGTTCCTGAGGTTTTAAGATTCCTTGGCGCAAACATCTCAAAGGGGTGGCGGGACAGAGATTGTCTTTGATAGATCAACCTCAAAGCCTGACGCTAGCACTCAAGATTTATTATCCTGTTTTGTGCCGGCCGTCCTCAGGTCATGAGTGGCTCCCCACATTAAAGGAGAAAAGTTAGTAAGAATGAGGAAACACTTAGACATGAATAAAACTGAAGCTAGAGCTCCCATTTCTGGACATAATAGAGTTACAGGGACCAGAATTACACTTCTGCCTGAAACGAAAACCCAGACAAAACATACGAAACAATGATTTTTAAGATACTGATATTAGCAGCAAAAGACAGTAATCCCTGATAGGCAGGAAAAAAATGAGATGAGCCCAGCAAGTACCCTAGCTTATTGCCTTGAGAGAGTTCCAAGCAGTGGCACAGGGAGGGGGAACCCCACAGAGCCTGGTGAAATTCTTGATTTGAAGAGAGCCGAGAATCTAAGGAGACCAAGGTAGGTAGGATTCATAAGGCAAGACTGGAGAGGGGAGAATTAAACAGAGAGCTCTGGGGACCTGTGAATGGTCCCCCTAGGACATTCAGCAGGGTATTGATTGGCACATATATATGAGGAAACTCATCTGAGTCCAGGGAAAGAAACATTCCAAAGGACTTGAACAGTGCCAAGCAAAAACAAGGCCAGGAAAGTGTTTTTTCCCACAAGCTTGATAAAAAATACAGTTCCTTTGTGCACTGGGTAAAGAACTCAGAAGGGCTTACGTCAGTAGTGGAGAATGATAATCTTATAGGCAATCCAAAGAAAACCACTCCAAGGCATATCATAATTAAATTGCTCAAAACAGGTCAAAAAGAAAATTATGAAAGCAGAGGGGAAAAGACATTATTCACAGAGGGAGAAGACAGAGGTTACAACAGATTTTTCATCAAATTCAATGCCACCTCTTTAAAGTACTGAAAAAAAAAATTGCCAACCTAGAATTCTAGGCCAGTCAATATATCAATCAAAAGCGAAGGCAAAACACATTTATAGATATTAAAAAGCTAAAAGAATGAATCACTAACAGACCACCACTGTAAAAAAATGTTAAAGTCAGTCCTTCAGGAAGAAGGAAAATGACATCAGATGGAAATATGGACTTTTCCAACCTTGGTCTTATTGGCATTTAGGACTGGATAATTCCTTGTTGTGCAGGGCTGTCCTGTGCATTATAGGATATTTAGCAACATCAATGGCCTCTACCTGTTAGATTCCAGGATAGCTACCCCCGAGTTGTGACAAAAATATCTCAAGATATTGTACCCAGGGGAGAACCACTGCTTTGCAGATAACAGTATATACTTCAAGGTAGCCTGATAAGGATATATACTGTAAATCAAAAAATGATCACTAAAATAACAAAACGGAGTTGTAGTTAATCAAAAAGGAGATAAAATTGTATAGAACTACACACACACACAAATAGGTGCATGTAAAAGCAGTGAAATGTGAATAAGTTCTGTGGATTGAACCAATGTTAACATCTTGGTTTTGATACTGTACTGTAATTATGACAGTTCAGGGAACTGGTGAAAGGTTCAGGAATACATTGTATTTTTTTTTATCTTCCTGTTACTTCCCCCAAAAATTTTTGTAAAGGAACAAATGAGACTAAAATTGCAATTTAATTCCATCCTATACATTTTATCAACATATTTAATTATACATTTTCAAAAAGCTATTTGACTGATAGTGGAAAGTTTGTAATATCTAAAATGCTTGGAAAAATTATTCCAGTAAATCAAAAAGAAGTAAATGAAGTTAGTTTCTTCAAATGCTATCATAATGTGTTAATAAACTATGCTTTATACACAAACAAAAAGGTCATTTACTAATGAAAAGCAATCACTTCTTCAAGAGGACATAAAAATCTTAAATATTTATAAACCTAAAAACAGTTTCAAGATATATGAAGCCAAAACTGATAGAACTGTAAGGAGAAATAGACAAAGTTGATTTCAATACATCTCTCTCGTTAAATGACAAATTATGTAAAGAGAAAAGAAAGAAGATTCAGGTAGTACCACCAACCAACAACTTGACTTAACTGACACTTAAAAAAAGCACTCCAGGGGGGGAGAGTATAGCTCAAGTGGTAGAGCCCGTGCTTAGCATGCAAGAGGTCCTGGGTTCAATCCCCAGTACCTCTTCTAAAAATAAATAAACCTAATTACTGCTCCCCCTCCAAAAAAAAAAAAAACTATTCAGCAACAACAGAACATACTATAATGGAATTAAATTAGAATCAGTAAGAGAAAGATCTCTGGAAATCTTCCAGTATTTGAAATGAAATAACACACTTCTAAATAAAAAATTAAATAATTCTTTATTTCAAAGATGAAATTTAAAAGCATATTAGAAAGTTCTGAATTGACTCAGAAAATAAAAATATTAAAATTTATGCAATATTGTTAAAGCAATATTTAGAGGGAAATTATAGCAGAATTTCTCTATATTAGAAAAGAAGGTTAGGATATTAGAATAAGAAGAATGAATTAAAATCTAAGTAAGCAGAAGAAGTAATAAAGCCAGAGTGAAAAACTAGAAAACAGAAAACAAAACAACAGAAAAAAATCAATGAAACCAAAAGTGGTTCTTTTAGAAAAATCAATAAAATTGATGAACTTCTAGCAAGATTGATCAGGATAAAGAGAAGAAACACAAAATTCCAGTGTCAGGATTGAAAGAGATGACACTAATTAGATGAGATTCTACACCAAATAAAGGGATAATTATTGTGATGGTTAATTTTATGTTGAACTTGACTAGGCTAAGGGTTGCCCAGACAGCTGACAAAACATTATTTCTGCGTGTGTCTGTGAGGTTGCTTTCAGAAGAGATTAGCATTTGAATCTGTAAACTCTGGGAGTTAGAAAGGGTTCTAACAGTTTGGTAGACTGGCTAAAACACGGACCAAAAGATGGCCCATTGTGAATGAATCAGAAATGCCTAACCTCCCTCAGTTTAATGTAGAGGCCC